AGAAAAGAAGCACTGAGCTAGGTCCTTAAGATTTAGGAAGCATCACTTTATTTTCACTTCCAGTTCCTAGAATTAAGCTTAACAATCAACATGCCTCCATTAAAGATTTGTCAAATTAATTTAGATAGGAAGTTGACCTCCAACATTTTTAAGGTCCAGTCTCATTGTGGGGGAAGAATATAGGTAAAAATGACAAGCTTAAACGACAAGCCTTCTCAAATCTGACTTTTTGGAAGGGTTAACTACCTATTATGAAATAAGTGATCTTTTCTCTTACTTCTTACAGATACCATGGGAGAAATGTAAATCAAAAGAGAACATGGTGATAGATTCTCAGACTAGATTATGTAGAATGACACCTTACAAGTCAAAGCTCAAGACAAACAGGGACACTTTACAGCACACTCAGTTCCGGGCTGGAAAGAGTGCTCTAACACTGGGATGCATGCTTTACACGATGGGAGACTGGGTTCCGTCCACTGCACCTACACTCTGCCAGGCACTCCTAGGATTAACCCCAGCACAACCACCTCACTGTACTTGGAATTACCCGGACAACCACTAGATTTGGCCCAAAACAATAATAAAAACTGCCTCTCCCCGGCTGGAGAGATAATACAACAGGAAGGGCACTCTCCTTGCATGCTGCTGACCCAGGTTCAATCCATGGCACCACAAATAGTTCCCTGAGCCTCATGAGGAATAATCCCTGAGTACAGAATCAGGAGTAACTCCTGAGCAATGACAGGTGTGGTCCAACTCCCACCCCAACCACACTCAATTGCCACTTCCCTCCTAACTTTTTCCCTTAAGGTCATAGTAGACCAGGCACTTCTTTTTTTTTTTTTTTTTACAGTTGTAGATTTACAATTTTTTGTGCTTGGGTTTCGATTATACAATGATCAGATACCCATCCCTCCACCAGTGCCCATTTTACACCACCATGGATAATATCCCCCCACCCCCATCCCCTCATCCCCCCCTGTCTCTGTGGCAGGGCAATCCCCTGTGTTCTCTCTCTCCTTTTGGGTGTTGTGGTCTGCAAAAGAGGCATTGAGTGGCAAACATGTTCAGTCCATAGTCCACTTTCGACATGCATCTCCCCTCCTGGGAGGATCCTCCAAACACCCTTTATTTGGTGCTCCCTTCTCTATCTGAACTGCCCTTTCCTCTAGGATACCCGACCAGGCACTTCTTATATGGAAAGCTAGCACCATCTGCTGAGAGGTGAGTTCAAATTTTAAGATAATCTCATTATCATGTGACTTCATTCTGAATTTGATTCTTTAAAGAACTTTTAATCCAACATCTATATATTTATATATTGATATATATATTCGTGTGTTTATATATTATATAATTATCACCAACTACTAGCGAACACTTCACAGAATTACTTTTTGTGGTAATTTTTATAATGTATTAAATGGAAAGGAAGTAATAATTGCTACAAGGAGCACGACATTAAACTCTACTATACGGGCCAGAGAGGGCTCAATGGGCTGAGCACGTGTTTTGCATGAAAGAGGCCTGGGTTGGATTGCTGATAATGCAGGAGCAACCCGTGAACATAGAGCTGGGAGCAGGTAGCCCCTGAGTCACCAAAAACAAATAAATGAACAAATAAACTTTACTATATAAAGGGGCATATATGGGGCCAGAGAGATAGCACAATGGGCAAGGCACTTGCCTTGCAGGCAGCTAGTCCAGTCCCCTCCCCTGCATATGGTCTCCTGAGTACTCTCTCAGAAGTGCTCCCTGAGCACAGAACCAGGAGTAAGCCCTGAGCACTACTTGGTATGACCACCCCCATCTCCCAATACCCCGCCTCACTCAAAAAAGGGTCTATAGCCACAGAGGCAGGGGGGGATGGGGGGTTGGGGGTGGGGGGGATATTATCCATGCTGGTGGAAAATGGGCACTGGTGGAGGGATGGGTATCTGATCATTGTATAATCAAACCCAAGCACAAAAAATTGTAAATCTACAACTGTACCTCATGGTGTTTCACTAATAAAAAAAAATTAAAAAATAAAAGGGTCTATAGTTATCAGTTGTTAGATTTTGCCAGTAGTATGATCCTTGAGGGGCTGGAGCGATAGCACAGTGGGTTGGGCGTTTGCCTTGCACGCGGCCAACCCGGGTTCAATTCCTCCACCCCTCTCAGAGAGCCTGGCAAGCTACCGTATCTCGAGTATCTTGCCCACCTGGCAAAAGCCTGGCAAGCTAGCTGTGACAAATTCGATATGCCAACACAGTAACAAGTCTCACAATGTTACTGGTGCCCACTCCAGCAAATCAGTGAACAACGAGAGGACAGTGACAGTGACCGTGATGCTCCTTGGGGAGCAATTGTTAGATATTTTACTAGTGGGTTTTACCAGTGGTATGCTCCTTGGGAAGCAAGTCATTTAAGTTTAATGACTTAAATTATTTAATAATGTAAAGTCAGTTGTGTGTCTTCCCCTCCCCTGACACCCCCCCATCTGCAAAAAACAAACAAACAAAAAAAAAAACCAACTATGTCAAAGTCCTAATTCTTCGAAACAAGGCCTTATTTAGAAAAAAAGAATCTTTGGAAGTATAATGAGTTCAGCCTGGCTTACCTGGTTTCTAAATCCAATGCTGAGTGTTGTTCTCAGACACACAAGACACAGAAGGGTCATGTGACCATGAGGACCAAGAGTGGAGGTACATAGTCACAGGTCAAGAAATATCTGACGTTTGGAGACTGGCAGGAGAGAGAAAAGATGCTTCAGCATTTTCTGAAGTGTGACCCTGCCAGCAACTTTATGACAGTTTCTGGCTTCCTGAAATGTGAGACAATTATTTTTGTTTTATTTATTATTGTATTACTATTATTGTTGTTGTTGGTTTAAAGCACAGCATTTGTGGTAACTTGTTATGAACAAGTTGCTAACAAACCAAAAGTCGACGTCTCAGACGTTCCACGTTAGCTCAGCCTGCTCTGAAGTTTTACGTTCCTGTTCTATTCTATTTTATTCTTGTTTGCCTGCTTTTATTTCCTCTACTGCCTCAGAGCCTTTGCACATGCTGCTCTAGTATATGGTGTTCTTATTCTTCAAATCTTTTCCCAAGACCTGTGTGTGTTGGGGGCGGGTACGGGGGTCCACACCCAGTGGTGCTCAAAGAGCTCAGTCCTGGTGGAGCTGGGGGGACCATAAGTGGTCCTAGAAGTCAATGCCCTACCTGATGTGCTAATTCCCCAGCCCTCCCAGCCTACTTTGGGTGGCCTTGTTTGGGCTGGTGGGGGCGGGGAGGGGCACACCTTATGGTACTTGGGGTCTACTCCCAGCACAGAGATTGCTCCCTCCCGGTTGATACTCAGGATGACCATGCCACACCAGGGATGGAACATGGGCTTCCCATAGACAAAGCACACATTTAGTCCACTGAGCCAATTGCTCTGCTCCTCTCCAAGGCTTCTTCGGGGAAAAGTTCAGTAAACTGCTAGTTCTGCTTCCCACCCCCCTCAGAAGTTCTCCTCTAAACCTTCTCTTGGCATTAATATAGCCTACACCTTGATTTGTGATCACTGTGCTAGACTCGGCCTCCCTGGCCCATCAGAGCTGCCACAACACTAGGAAGTCTTTCCACCCGCCTTACAGTCCCTGCACAGTTCTGAGCTGCGCCCACCCCAGGGGGACCACATTTTGAGGTGAGGAGAGGGTCCTTTCAATCGCTGCCTCCACAAAGTCTTCCTTGTTCTCTTTTCTTTCCTTTTTTTTTTCTTTTTGCTTTTTGGGTCACACCACCTGGCGATGCACAGGGGTTACTCCTGGCAGTGCTTGGGGGACCATCCGGGATGCTGGGTTGGCCGAGTGCAAGGCAAACGCCCTACCTGCTGTGCTATCGCTCCAGTCCCAATTCTTTCTTGTTTTCTGTACTTCACGTGGTCTTTGTTTATCCCTGTAGTGTAGGCCCCTGCCTCTAAACTCTTTAAGTGCCAAGAGGGAATGACACTTGGCCTGTGCTGGTTCCCTGCTATACCACATACCTAGAACAGGCCCCTGTCGCATTAGCAGATGCAAAATTAAAATATGGATGAATGGGTTCCCAATCGAAAGTTGTGCCCTGAGATTAATGAATTAAGAGCATTGCTCAGACACTCCCAACCCCGACACACAGAGAGTACTGAGCCCCACAACTTGATAGAAGCTCGGGAACAAAAGGGGCTGAGCTAAAGGAGCTGCGATACTCCTCTCTGGAACACGGTACTCCGTCATTAAGATGCAACCGTGACTTTGGGGATGGAAGGGCTGCAACTTGAGGCGATGGCCCCAAGGGAAGCAAAGGACCATCACCACCCTGTGGATAAAGTGGTGCATCAGATATAAAGCAGTGAAGCAAGGGGACTGGCCCCCAACATAACAACAAGCAGGGTCAGTCAACCAGGGGCATGGAGAAGGGTCATTTTAGGGGTAGGAAAGGGGGGGGGGGAGGAAGGGGGAGAGAGAGAGAGAGAGAGAGAAGAGGAGAGGAGAGGAGAGGAGGGGAGGAGAAGGGAGCGGAGAGGTGAGAGGAGAGATGCCAACCCCCGTGATTCGGTCCTGGTGACCCGAGCTCTGGAGAAATCAGTTAAAAGCGGGGATGGAAGAAAGGAGGAAGACACGTGGCGGGGGGCCCCCGGTGCTGGGTAGGAGGCCCGAGTGCGCGGCTGCGGGCTACAGGGGCGACCCCGACGCTCTCCCAGTCCGCCGCAGCCCCGCCCCGCGGGGTTACCGGCGACCCCCCAGCTGCCCCAGCCCGCAGTGCCCACAGCCCGGGCAGCTCCGTGCCACTCTCCCCTCGCCCGAACCCCGCCCCGCCCCCACGCCCCACGCCCCTCGTCCCCTCCCGCGGACCGCACCCGGCCCCAGCCCTGCCCGAGCTCCCCGGCTCTCGGCGCCCGGGACCCCCGCAGGCCCGGCCCCGCCCCGCGCGCCCCGCCCCGCGCACATCGCCCCTCGGCGCCCGGGTCTGCGGCTGCGCGCGGGCGGGCGCGGGGAGGGTCGCGCCGGGGGCCGCGGAGCTGCGGCGGCGGGCGGCGCCCCAGGGAGCCGAGGGACCGTCATGTCGCGCTACACCAGGCCCCCCAACACCTCGCTCTTCGTGCGGAACGTGGCAGACGCCACCCGGTGAGCGGGGCGGGCCGGGGCGCGGGGAGGGGCGCGCTAACGGCCGCGGGGCTGGGGTCGGCCCTGGAGTGGGGGGGTCCCCGGGGTGGGGGTGTGGCCGCGCCGAGCCCCGCGGGCTGCCCGGGCCTCCGGGGCGGGACCTGCGCCCCGCCCTCCCGCGCCCCGCCGGGTGCGGCGGCTCCTCGCGCCGGGCGCGGGGTGGGCCGGGGGTCGCCGCTCCCGGGCAGGGCCGCGAGCACGCTCGCCCCTTTGTGTGGCCGGGCCTGGGGGCGCGTCCCGGCCCGCGGATGCTCGGGAATCGGGGAGCGGGGACACGGACTAGGCGTTTTCCTGCCTCCGGGCGGACTCACAGGTGGTGGTGCGGGGTCATAGGCTTGGAGCGCCCCGTATTTTTTAAGATTTTTTTGTTTTGTTTTTTTGTTTTTAACCTCTGCACGGAAAGGACAACTTCCCTGCTGCCCCTCTTAAAGTTGCGCGTGCGGTAGGGGCCACCGGGTGTAACGGTTCGGGGAGACACCACCCCACCCCCACCCCCACCCCACGAGCGCCCGCCCGCCCTGGTTGCCGTAACTTGGAATTCAAGGAAGGCCGCCTGGCCTGGATGCTAGATGCTAGGGGTAGAGGTTTGCGTTTCTTTGGCCCTCTCCAGCCTCTTGCTGCCATGCAATTAGGAGCCCCCCTGGACCTAGCCAAAAAAAAAAAAAAGGAAACCTCAGTTTTCATGAAGGATCTGGGGGTCTTCGCGGAACATCTTCTTAGACCCATCCTTGTAATTCACCTCTGAAGAGCAGATGCCATCTTTTAAAAAGGTGACCCCCAGCAGGTATTTGTGTTCCAGCTAAAGGCTGAGAATTCGTGGACATCAGTAAACGCATGAAAGATAATTGTGGGGCCCGGGAAGGTAACTCAGAGAGCCAGGCTTTAAACCCCTGCATAGCATGGTCCCCAGCATTGCTGGGTGCATCACCTTCTTCAAAAAAATTTAAGAGAATTAAGGGCCAGAGACATAGTACAGCAGGTAGGGCGTGTGCCTTGCACATGGCCAACCCTGGTTCCACCCTGGAACCATTCCATGTGGTCCCCCATCACCACCAGGAGTAACCCCTGAGCACCACAGGGTGTGGCTAACCCCCTCCCCGCCCCAATTTTTTAAATTCTATTTACCGTTTGTTTCAGCCTGTTTTATCAATGTATTAAGCAGAAGATAAACTAAGATATGGGGCCAGAGAAAGCGGTGCTAGCGCCCCTGGCCCCAAAGAGAAAAAGAGAATTAAGTAAAATTTATAATTTGGTTAGGGGTAAAAAACCAAACAGACCCACAATTAAACAAGCCACTTAAATTCTGAATAGACATCAAGCTGTGCCAGTTTGACTACCCTTCAAATAAAGGATTTCCAATTCCAGGAGTAGCCACAAGGCCTAGCCAGGAAGGTAATAGTGAGTGAGGTTGTTGGGTTATAAAGCATGATATGGTAGTGTGAAGTGTAGCAACTGGAAAAGAACATCTGCCTTCTAAAGGAGACAGCAGCTGCTACTAAGCACCCCATAAATGCTGCGTAGATATTTTGAATTGTTACCACATCTTGCTTCAGAAGAAGGAAGAGGCCTGTATATTGTGTGTAGACTCAACTTCAAACTGTGGGCCACTCTTACGTGTTATATGAAATTACCATTTATAAATTAATATAAGTGTTTATATGAAATTCCCGTTAAAAATCTGTGAGGCAGGGATGCTCGAGAGATAGACTGGGAGGTAAACCTTGCATGCTGCTGTCCCACCCAACCCTAGTTCGAATCCCCAACACCACACATATGTGCCCCTGCCCCCCCCCAAATATTGTCAGGTGAGACCCCTGATCAGAGAGCTAGGATAGGCCCTGTGCATTGCTAGGTCTGGTCCAACAACCCAACCTAATACTCCTCCACAATAAAAAGTATAAAATATTGGATATTTTCATATTTCAGCACACTTGTTTTATTTGGCCTTTACATTTCATTGTATGGGGCTAGAGTGATAGTACAGTGGGGAGGGCATTTGCCTGGCACACGACTGACTTGGGTTTGACCCCCGGCATCGCATATGGTCCCCTAGCATCGCCAGGAATGATTCCTGAGTGCAGAACCAGGAGTAACCCCTGAGCATTGCCAGGTGTGATTCAAAAAGACAAAACATTAATTTTTTGTTTCTCAAATTTTGATTCTCAAAAAATTAGAAATTGAGCTCCCATTTGACCCAGCAATACCACTCTGGGGATTATATCCCAGAGAGGCAAAAAAGGATAGTCGAAGTGACATCTGCACTTGTTTGTTCATTGCAGCACTCTTTACAATAGCCAGAATCTGGAAAAAAACCTGAGTGTCCGAGAACAGATGACTGGTTAAAGAAACTTTGGTACATTCACACAATGGAGTACTATGTAGCTGTTAGAAAAGATGAAGTCATGAAATTTACATACAAATGGTACTACATGGAAAGTATCATGTTAAGCGAAATGAGTCAGAAAGAGCAGGATGGACACAGAAAGATTGCATTCATCTGGGGAACATAAAGTAACAAAATAGGAGACTAACACCTAAGAGTGGTTTAAGAGATTAGTACCAGGAATCTTGCTCCATGACTTGGAGGCCAGCCACACGTGCTGGGGGAAAGGGAAGCTCAGATAGAGAAGAGAGCACCAAATAAAGGGTGTTGGGAGGATCTTCCCAGGATGGGAGAAGCATGCTGAAAGTAGACTATAGACCAAACATGATTGCCACACAATGCCTCTCTTGCAGACCACAGAACCCAAAAGGAGAGAGAGCGAGAACAGAAGGGAATGGGTTGGGGGGATGGGGGGGTGGGAGGGATACTGGGACCTGTGGTGGTAGAAAATGGGCACTAGTGGAGGGATGGGTACTTGATCATTGTATAACTGAAACCCAAGCACAAAAATTTGTAAGTCTACAACTGTACCTCATGGTGTTTCACTAATTAAAAAAAAAATAAAACAAAAAAAAAAAACATTTTATTGTACAGACCAAATAAAACCCACTTGTAGGGCCAGAGGTTAAGGTATTAGCTGTGCATATCGGGACCCAGGTTCCAGTCCCCAGCCCCACTTAAGGTTCCCAGAGTTCTGCCAAGAATCATTCCTGACATGATGCTGGATGCAGTCCAAAAACAAAATAATATCACGCAATTTGTAGATGATGCGACCTCTGTGCTAGATACTTAGTAAGTAATCAAAACTACTAAAATTTCTGACTTCGTCTCTTCACCTTTTTTTAAAAGTACTGCCACTGGGGATTAAACCAAAATCTAAAGGTTTGGGCTTGTGAAGTGGCTCAGAGGGCTGGCAGGCATGCTTTGGGTATGGTTGCCCTGGTTTTCCTTGATCTGCAGCACTGCATGGTTATCCCTGAGAGCACTGTGGTGTGTTGCCTCTCCAAGCCAAAAAAAATTTTGGGGGTGTATTTCAATGAAATAATTGTTAGCATTTGTTGAGTGCTCACTATGTGGTACTGTACCAAAAGCTTCACATATATCATGTTACTAAGTTTTCATAACCTGGTAATCTATTTTCTTTATTAATCTCATTTTGCAGATAAAACACAGGCTTAGAGTTAAGCAGAGTTAAGTTGTAGCTGCTAAGTGGTGTTATGAAAGTAAAATCACTTGTAACCTAAAATAGTGTCTCTTACAGACAAGGGGGCGTACATTAAAAACTAGCAGTATGACACCTAGGTATAAGCTAAACTAACTTTGCATTTAATATGCTTATAAAGGAAATTAGAGCCAGAGAGATTATATAGCAAGTAGGGTGCTTCCCTTGCACATAGCCAACCCACATTTGATTTCCCAGTCCCCACTAGGAGTGGTCACTGACCACTGTCTGGTGTGGCCTGTAAACAAACAAAAAGAAAGAAAAGAAAGAAAATTAATGGGAGGATAGAGAGAGAGTAGTACAGGGGATAAGGCACTTGCCTTGTATGTGGCTGACCCTTTTCTGTCTCTGGCACTGACTGGCATGGTTCCCTGAGCACAGCTGTGTGTGGCCCAAATCCCCCACTGCTGAAATGCAAAAGACTCATTGGGATAACTGTTTTATTTTTCTTTTTGGGTCACACCTGGCGATGCACAGGGGTTACTCCTGGCTCTGCACTCAGGAATTACTCCTGGCGGTGCTCAGGGGACCATATGGGACTCTGGGAATCGAACCCGGGTTGGCCGAATGGAAGGCAAATGCCCTACCCGTTGTGCTGTTGCTCCAGCCCTGGGATAACTGTTAAAACAGTCTGACGATATATAAAAGCTTCACGTTTGATACCCTGAGTTTGAACCCTATTACACATAGATTTGGCTGCCCCTGAGCACCATTTTCAGAAGGAAGGAAAGCCGCCACCACCACCACCACCACCACCACCAAGATTTGTTGTAATTTGTGTTTCACTGGTAAAATGAAGATCAGGGAAAAAAATCAATATTTGCTCTTCATTGTATAGGAGAGTAAGATTTTTAAATGTTATGTAGAATGTTCTAATACAAAAAAATAATATCTGAGTTTCCAGTATAACTTTACCATGTGGGGAGGGGCAAAGGGCCACATTATACCTGGCAGTGCTCAGGAACTGCTTGCAGCTCTGCTTGGTGGGGGCAGGGTGTGTTTGTGCGTCTCTGGTTCATGTAATGCTGGGGATCGAATCCAGGCCTGCCACATGCAAAGCGTAAACTCACCCCATTGAGCTCTCTCTCTGTCCAACTCTCCTCTTTTGATACATAACATCAAGTTTAGGGTGCAGTCAGGATCCTCTTGACAGTCTGTGTGTGTGTGTGTGTGTGTGTGTGTGTGTGTGTGTGTGTGTGTTTGTGTAATAGTAGTAATAGAGGGACTGGAGTGATAGCACAGCGGGTAGGGCGTTTGCCTTGCACGCGGCCGACCCGGGTTCGATTCCCAGCATCCCATATGGTCCCCTGAGCACCGCCAGGGATAATTCCTGAGTGCAGAGCCAGGAGTAACCCC